CTTTCTGCCGAGCCGCGGATGATGGCTGGGGGCGAAGGGTAAGTTGGCTGCGCTTGCGCTGCGCCTGTGCGTGTCTCCCAGGGGCGAGCTCGTGTCAGGCGAGCGGCTTCCAGGCGCCCCTCGGATTCGGTTTCGGTAAGGCTGGGGAAATCCTCCTCCTCCTCCTCTTCCTCCTCCCCGCCACTCTTAAGGCTTCACGGTCGTCCTTTCCTCTCCCTTCGCCTAGCTTGCTCGCAAGGGGTTCCCGATTTGGGGTGTGCTGTGCGCGCTGACCTGCCTCCTTAGCAGAGGATTGCATTTCTGGGAAGCGGCGTGTTGGCCTGACTGTGGTTATGATTATTGGCCCACCCGGGCTAAACCTGACCTCGGTTTGGGATTTACAAGCCGCGAAAGGGCGCTGGGCTCCTTGTGTGCCGGGTCCGCAGTCTCGCTGCTAGGGCGCATCTGCACCCGGCGGCGGCGGCTTGTTGTGTCTCCAAATGTGTTTCAACTTGTAGCTCGGCCCTGCCTCCCTTTTGTTCATTTCTTTGTTTCTGTCTGGATGTTGGGAAGCCCTCTTGAGAGAGAGATCTGGGGAAAGGAGCTCCGGCGGGCTCTTTTGATGCCCTCATGCGGGGCAAACGGTTGGCTAGTTTGTGTTGGGCTGGGTGCAAGTGGGCTTACTCTCGGGGCAGACCACAAACAACAACAGAGCTGGCTTGGCATTGCCTTGACCCAAATAGAGGGTTTCCAGAGCCTCTCCTTTCTCCTATTTCTGTTTTCTTGTTTGATTCTCGTAAGAAATATTGAAGCCTGTTTTAGGGCGAGTTAAGCCACTGGGCCATTTTTCTGTTTTCCCTGTCTGGAGGCCTTGAGCCATCTAGATGCAAAGCTTGTCCTCTTACCATTGATCTTCCCTCCTTTCCCGGAAAATGTAGACCTTCAAACAGTTCACCAAAAAGAGACTGAAGTCTCTTGAGCATTACTGAATGCAGGCGAGACGGCCTCAAAGGCTGGGGATGAAACGGAGACCTTCTGCATGAGAAGCACGTGCTTGACTGCCAAGTGACTTGCCCTAAGCGATAGTCTTTCCGGCTGCAGTGGAGTTTGACTTGTCACGATGTGCGAAAAAGGATGGCCTCCTATCACAGAGCAGCATCGGCCACAGGTCGTTGGGTTCTTGCTAAAATTGCTAAGGGCTGCCTGGCCTTTTCACATAATTCAAAGAAGCGTATCTCGATAGGTCTGTAGAAAACATGTTTGGGTAGGTATCCTGTGACTCTCGGATACTGCTAAACTACAATGCCCGGCAGCCTGGCCGGTGGGGAAGGAGTTGTAATTCAGCAACATCTGGAGGTCATGCGTTCCTTCATTCTTGCCATATAGCTTATTGCAGATGATACTCAAGTCTTAGAACTTGTCCTCCAAAGTTTTAAAAGTACTCTTGTTTGGGGTAATTTAAATGAATCAGACCAGGTTTAATACTCAGCTGGGAACTGGATAAACTGCATGTTTGTTTGTTTTTTAAATTCCTAGGGTCTGTGAAAGTCTGGAGTTAAACCCAAGTTATGGCAGGTCTTTATGATGTTGGGAAGTGGTTCGTGTGTTCAGGTTGATTTTTTAATGAATATCTACAATTGGATGTATTCTCATTTTAATTGGGGACCAAACATGAATGATTTTAAAGAACACGTATGTACATAGGAGACCGAGAAAAGAACAAAAGACTCATCTTTCTGAGTCTTTGGTTTAATTTGTGAAACTTCAGTTTTTGATTGTTTTAAGAACCTCTTAAAACAATCCTCTTCCTGATAGCAGTGGGTTCAAGAATGAACAGTGTGCTGTTTGTGTAATTAACATTTCCAGATGATAACATCTGCACCCCTCGTGGATGAGGACTGAAGTGGCTGCTGTACCCATAGACTGGTTAACTCCCATTGAAATGATTGCAGTTGTTCCTGGGGATGTCCTTGAAGGAGGTATGGAAATTGTAGCTGGTCCAGAATGTGGCAACTAGGCTCATGTTGAGGGTATCCCAGTGAGAGTATATAATATAGGAATATATGATAACTGTTTGGGCTTTCAGTGGCCTTCTATGCCAAGTTCAAGATGCACTGTGAAGTCCTTGGGGTTCTCTGAGCTTGGTTATTTTCTTGCAGACGTTTCGTTACCTGACTAGGTCACATCTTCAGTGCTAGAAGGGAGTGGGGTTTGCTCAAGATGCACATATAAATCCCTCTCTGGCTCATGTGCCTCCTGCTGAAAGGAAAGGCTACCTGCATATGTGATCACTTTGCAGCTACCATCATCTGCAGAGAAGTGCTTTTTCTTGAGGATCCCCCTGGAGAGAGGCCCGCGGGGAATATCCAAGGGTAGGGCCTTTTCAGTGATGACACCAACACTTTGGGATTTCCTTCCCTTACTGAGTTCTTTGTTACGTTTTAAGAAAAATCTCAAAACTTGTTTTTATTCATTAGCTTTCCCATCGTAGTAGCCATGCCTATATACTCTCTATTTTTATTGCTGGCCTTGGAGATTGGTCTGCTTTTTTAATTGCATTTTTCGTTGAACACTTTTGTGGCTGTTGATTTTTTGCTATAATGTTTTGTTGGTTTATGATTTTGATAGTTTTATGATTATTGTAGTTTAGTCTGGCTGAGTTTTATTTGGCTTTGATGTTTATTATTCTATTGTTAACCCCTGGGAGCT